GTAAAAAGTTGGAAAAAATATCCAACCCACTCATCCATGTGAGTGTATGTAATGGTTGTGTGAACCATTTGTCTGTACAATCAAACTTGTTGTAAATCAAGTACTTGATTGCAAAATACTATTTCGTCTTAACCTCCATTTGGCAAATTAAAAAATGGTTTATAAATATGAATAATAAGGGGATAGTGGATCCCATGAAATTTTTGAATAACCATTTTACCCTGAAGTATAGTTTTGTTCGATGCACATATTTTACAAACACATGCCAAAGATATAAAAATTCTGTCTGATTATATAAAAATTCAGAAGTATAGCGCTAGCTATGTGACAATCTTAATTCTGTCTGATATTCGAGGCACCGAACCGCGTGTTTTGTCCGTGGCCCACAGTTGACCAAGCCTGAGACGGAGCTTCGGGGTTGAACGTGGCTCATATTTGTCTTTGATGTAAATTTGTAAATTTGGTGGGGACATGATTACTTGCCCTCCAAGCTGCAACAGATATTGGAGACAGCATTGACATTACTAGACTTACTTGAGGGTACAAACGTAATGCCATTTGTTAATCATTGTTTTCAATCTTCACACCGTTTAAACTGATGTTAGATATCATTATTCTATTGTCCAATTAGGTTAATGCTATTGTGATAGGGCCTACCACAACCCCTATTCATTTATTATTTCCTGTCCAATCATATTGGAATATAGATTGATATTTAATCAATCAATCATTCTTGTTATACAAGCAGGGGCTCATAGAACCCCTACCAAACCCTTTGTGAGTAAAAAGTTGGAAAAATTTTTAAACCCACTCATCCGTGGGAGCGTATGTAATGGTTCTGTGAATCATTTGTCTGTACAATCAAACTTGTTGTAAATCAATTACTTGATTGCAAAATACTATTTCGTCTTAACCTCCATTTGACAAATTAAAAAATGGTTTATAAATATGAATGATAAGGGGATAGTGGATCCCATGAAATTTTTGAATAACCATTTTACCCTGAAGTATAGTTTTGTTCAATGCACATATTTTACAAACACATGCCAAAGATCTACTACTAATATCAAGAAGGTTCCGTTCCCAGTTGCATTGAGTGCAAATGGCACTATAATTGGTTATTCATAATGACGTCTAACAAATTAATGGAGTAAAGGCCTTTGGATGGACCTTATTTTACAGCTACCTTACATCACAGCAACCTAAACTCCATTATCTCGAACGGCAGTTTTAAATAAGAAAAATAAACTAAAATTTGCCCACTAATTTTGTCTAGTCTTGATCAATATTGTATAGAGATTAGAAGCACCGGTGAAAACAAGAGAAGAGTCCCCTTGAGTTGTTTTCCATTGGTGTATCACTATTGTCATCTCTCCCTGCCATCAAGGCGCTTGTGCCTGGAGATGCTGGTGGGAAGACAACATTCTCAGAAGTGAAAATCTTGGGTGGTTCAACAGGTTGAGGTGGTGAAATCCTTGAGAGAGAGTGCAAAAGCATCTGTACTATCTGATTGAAGTTCGGACGCTCATTTGGATCCTCCTTCCAGCATGAAGTCACGATTGAAGCCAAATCCTCTGGAAGATCATCAGCGTTTGGCCTTACATTCTGAGAAGGAAGATATACAAACAATAAGCTAGAATCAATGCACGACACCATACACCCGTGGCCTTTTCTAAACTCAATGGCGTCTTTCATTTGCACAAACAAAGTTATCCTTAGAATCAACAAATAAGTAAAAAAGAAAAAGGAGGCCAGACACAGAAAACGGAAAAGGAAATGGGAGGCAGTGTGGCAAGAAGAATCCCCAATATAGTGATGAATTTCCCAAATTTGATGTTTTTTCTACATTCTCAAACAAGGCTAACATCTTTTCTACATATTAAGCCAACGCACTGAGCAAAATATCTGCATTTTATTGGCTCGAGGCTATTTGATACATTAAACAATTTAAGAGAAAGGGAATTACTTTAAAAGCAGCTGCATAGGCGGCCTGCAAATTTGACATGCCTTCGAAAGGTAACTTATTATGTATGAGCTCCCACAACACAATTGCAAAACTGTAAGCGTCCACCTTATGGTTATAATGCTTCTTCTCTCCATGCCGAAGGGTGACTGTGCTATAGAGCTGCAACCATTAGCCAAAAAAAGGAAGAGATTTTCAGCAATCATGTTGATGAAAAACGAAACCCGGAAAAAATGTAAAATAATAATAATAATAAGTATGAAAAACTAAGAACAAAGGTTAATTGAACGACTTCTGGAGCCATCCAGCGATAGGTTCCGGTCTCGGCAGTCATCATCTCTGTCAATGATTCTTCTCTTGCCAAACCAAAATCCGCCAGTTTAACAGTTTTATGGTCTGCTGTCAAAAGCAAGTTTTCTGGATAAAAGAAAACTAACAGATTAGATAGTTTTAGTGAAGGAAAGAGTGACAGGGATCATAAAATAACAATTACTGTTACACGTCTTTAGTCCATTCTGGACTTCCCAAGAATTTGATGCTAATTAATGTCTGAAAGCAGGATCAGTAAATAGAAAGTCCTGATCAATTATTAAAAGCCGATTTTTGTAATAATCATTTTTTACATATTATTTCTAAACTAATCTTGTGTGAAAAACCGAGAATGGCTCTTTCCGCCAGACACTCGGCACCTAAAATCTTAATTCTGTCTGATTATATAAAAATTCAGTAGTATAGCGCTAGGTATGTGACAATCTCAGTACAAAAGTTCGATACAACCACAAAACTCCTCAGTTTTTCTCTCGACATCCACATATTGATGATTGCATACATCTTAAAATGTACAAATTGTATCCTTATATGGATAATAACTTTATTTAATCAGGACAGATGGGATTTTTAAAATTTTGTTTGGTTAGAGAATGGACCTAATCTCGCTCATCATGTACATTTAAGTATTTTTATTAGTATCATGTTTTAGCTAAATTCATCTGTCTTACCCATTACTTCTATATATCCTATTGTCGAGTTTACTCTATTCAAAGCATCTATATCATATGATTCGCGCTGTCTCACTTGTTGTTTAGTGTATGATGAACCAAATTGTCCACACCATTCATAATAGAATTATGAACTTGACACCAAATTGTTGCAAAAATTAAGGTAATGTAATTGCCTCAGTTCCAAGGTGCAATCTGTCATAAAATTATGAACTTGACCCCCTCAAATATGGTGGATGGAATGGACAAAATTCAATAATCGATAATATTACATAAATTCGTGAAGTTCCAGCTTCCTAATTTCTCTTTCAGCCTAGCCTCGGGGTATAACAATAACCCTTTTCCCTTACACAATCCCTCATCACCTACGAAATTTTTTACAACGTCGAATCAACAATTATATATATATATATATATAGAAAAACCACATTTCTCAGTCATTACACAAAGTCACTACTCTCTCTAGATGCATAAACATTATTCGTGCATACATATACAATATCCGCATATGTATACATGTATAGTCATGAATGTCGTTGTATCAGGAAGCAACATCTCAACAATGTGCTAAACCCTACTAGTTTGATAATCAATGCACAACCTTAACCATGTTCTTGTGTTGGACTTTAGATAACATTGCAACTTCTCTAGAAAATCGGGCCTCCCTCTTGGCAATCTCTTCTGGTGTGTCCCCTTTGTAAACAATTTTGATAGCCACATTCTGGTTTTTGTATCTAAAAAATGGCCAATAAGAAAGGTTAGCTAACAGCTTCACAAAGAAGGGAAACTACCAATGCCCGGGAGGCCTAATAGCCTTATACATCAGAAATCTGCATAGAAAATGCATTAATTCTACCAGTTAAAAAACCGAAACATTGATAATTTACCGGCGTTTTTTAATTCTGATCTTTAGAGATGTTTAGAGATCATAAAAAACCATTAAAATTGCAGAATTTGTAGGTGTTAATAAAGTGATTCCAAATCAATCAAAATATTTAATAAATATTCGCTTAAAAGCTCGAAATTAATACTTAGATTTCTGAATCGTAAACCATCTTCAATCAAGATTCAGACAGAGGAATAAAAGTCAGCTTACTTTCCCTCGTACACTTTAGCATGAGCCCCTTCTCCAATCTTCGGACCAACAAACAGAAGTTTCGGATCCACCGACCATTTGGGTTCCAAATTAAATTCTGCTCCAGAGTAAAACCCATTCTCTGATCCCATTTTTCACTAATTCTCTTTTTCTAAACCCTCCAAATAAAAGCAGTTATCTTCAACGAGTCCCGATACACATTTGAAGTAAAACCCTCATAAAACTATACTCACAAGCAACCCAACTAACTAAATGAAATAGCGAAGTTCTTCACTAGCCAATTCTTTCCAAATGAAATCACTGAATCCAGAATATATGTTTTCATAGAATTCACCACCAAAATTCTTTCAAAATGAAGCAGATCAATAAGTACTGAAGCATAAGAAGGACCTTAAATAATCAAGAAAAAAATGCCGAATTGTCACTGGAAATTGAAAAAAGTCACCGCGTATTGCTTGATCTGCAAAGGTAATGAAGCGAAAGATATTGATTGTGTTGGAATATAATAGTGGATGGACCGTTTGAATTATTTTCCAAAGGACGAAGAGTATTTGGATTTTAAGAGTGGGTGGGGAATGGGGTTGGGTGGGCTGACCCGTCCAAAAATAGATGATGCACTGTTTGAGCCTTATTGTCGTGGAAAAAAATGTATTCTTAAACAATGATTTGATATTATTTTAATCACATTTTTTAATAAAATAATATTACATACAAATTTAAAATTTTCATCATTTTTTAATCATACATTCTTCATCAATCTCTTATTCCAAAATACAATCTTTCGAAATAATGTGGTCAAACACACATGATATTTTAATGGAATCATATAAAAATAAGAGATAATTGTAGCAAAAGTCTCAAGCCTTTGAAATACTAACAAACTTTTCTCAAACCTTCAATCGCTGTGGTTGGACGGTTTCCATCCAAAGTACCATCAATTGACCTAAAAAATTAATTTTGACCATATTCTAATTATTTCTATATGAGGGCAAAATAGTAAACTTAATATATTTCCATATAAATATAACAAAAATAATTTCGAAAAAAGAAAAGAAAAGCCAAAGCAAAAAAATGTCCCACCCATCGCCGACTGGCTACCAAAGCTGCTGGAAAAATACCCCTAGGCCAATGATATCACACCGCTAACACACTCCAACAAAAAATCAAGCCAAACAACTATTTCGAAGGAATAAATTTGTCAAAAGCAGCCTCGTTTTCAACACCTTCACAAATTGAGAAACCATTTCTAGTGACACCAGTAATCGTCAACTACCACCATTTATCTCATATCATCTAGGCTTACATTCTGATGAAATCGCATCACAAAAACAAGCCCAATTTGCAAAATCACAATAAGCAATCGCACATCCTCCTATTGACAGGTCCCATATTACTTTTCCATCGAATTATGAACAATTGGATGCTCAGCACTATCATACGACCTTGGGTGTACAATCAATTGAACCAATTCAGCCTTCAATTGATTCAATTTTGCAATCTACCTCAACACCTAAGGAACTCAAAGTAGCTAAATCCTTACTTTTCACTAGGACACATGCCACAGTGACTGCTCCATTGAATTCAGAAAGCATCAAAACCCTTTTGGCAGCCCCCCATCGACCTATTTTGCCATCAACCATGCTGCCATAAAATGGAAACCTCCCAGGTTGACATCGATGATTTGAGAAGTGTTAGTGTTTTTGGTTTGGGTTGGTTTGTGGGTGAGGTGGTGGTGGTGGCAACAAAAATGGCGATTGAGGTGGGGCGTTGTTTGGTCACTGGCCGACGATTGGTAGTGATGGGTGGAACATTTTTTTGGACAACCTCCCTCCCATGTTGAATTTGGTTTGCACAAATACAATGGACATGACATTTGCCTAATCAAGTTGTTTAGGAAATAAATGTGAAGAAAAAAATATTCTACTAATTTTGAAATGAGGAATACCCAACTTTTCTCTTCCATTCATCGAGTATTAAATTATTTTGTTCATCTGAAAAAATTTGCATGATACAACAAATGTGAATTTCACTTAATTGTCTTGTTCTGAAGATAAGTTTGACAAAACTGTATGATTTCCACAATGAGGTCACTGACGATCACACAACTCCTCTTGCATTCATCGAATATCAAATTTGGTTTTGTTCATATGGAATAATTGTGCACAAAACATCAGACATGATATTTTACTAGAATCCTTTTCTGAAGATAATTTTGAAAATATATATATATTCTACCAATGATGTGTTGATCCCAAAGGGTTGTACAGAGTGAAATTTAATGACATTGTGAAGTAATAAAGATCACGACAAGAAATAAGATTAAAAGTAAAGAAATAAACAAAGAGAATTTATCGCAGAGGAACTATGTATTATAAATTGACAATATGGAGAGAAATTACAGACACGGCAATAATGTTTAAGCAAAATTGAAAGAGGAGTCTTGTATTTATAGGTCATGTTTTAAACCCTAGAAGATTTCTAAAAGGTAAGGAAATATATTATAATTAGGAGATCCAATTTCAACGAGATTTTGTTTCCTTGTTGTTGAATGCAATTAGACTCATTTTTCAATACCAACAACACGCGATTTAAGACTTCTATTTGAGTCACAACTCTAACAATCTCCACCTTGACTCAAATTTCAGTGCAACGAGCGGAGCTCCACAAATTTTCTTCACCTGAGAAATAAACTCGTTTGCATCGAAATGAGATGGTAAATCTTCTCAACGTAGTATCCAAAACTCTCCATATAAACCATTGACCTCTGCACGACGTCCACAAGCGACACCTGAACCTTACTCTTAGGTTCCCAAAATTTCACCAAAAAATTAATGTTTACCAAATAGGATCGAAGTACACCATGTAGCAGAGACCATACAAAAAGCTTGAACAGAAGACCCCTTGCTAGAACTGTTGTCTTTAATGTCCCCAAAAGCATTACAGACATCACTGACACCACAGTACATACGCTCAATGGATCCAATCCTAAAAATTAAACATAGTGCTACCGCTGAAATTGGTGACAAAGCGGAATTATCAATGCTCCCTCGAGCAATGTTCTGAATCAACCCAGAGCCGGTTACAAGAGATACTGTACCAAACTGAATTTCCACAATGGTATTGAACTTGTCCATATGTCTCTTAATTGGTTCTGCGCTTCCTACAAGATGTACAACTGAGACATTCTCCGTCTCTCTAGTACAACTCAAACACCTTTTCGAATCTTCAAGACTCCACATCCACCAGAGAATTTATACGATTTTGTGTCCAGAGTACTAAACGAGATGAGATTCATTTTCAAGTATGGAACATGTCAACTCGATCAATTATTCTGACTGTCCCACCCTGCAACCTAAATTTGAGTTGACAGATCCCAGCAATATGGCAAGACTAGTTGTTTCCCATTACAACTTTACCTTGCTGAACGGCCTCATATCTCTGAAAGAAATTTCGATTGGAAACATATGATGCAAACATGTCGAATTAAGAATCCACTCCTCATCAAACCTATATTCGACGGTTAACATCATATCTCCGTCGTTTGAAAAATCCTCAACTGCACTTGTTTCGTCAGAAGTCAAAGGTTGCGCTCCACAATTTGCAGCTAAATCACATGTAGCGTGCAATTTATTGCAATCCTTCCGAATATGTCCATTACGTCTGCAGTAAAAGCAAAACAAATTGTCATTATTCTTCGATATCTTCCTCTGTCGACCACCATGAGATAGAAAAGCTTCCTCATCCCTCGTTGTAACTCCAACCAAATGCTTCAACTTCTCCTTTGAGTGGAAAGCATCATAGACGTCGTCTATAGTTAAGGTATCTCAGCTATACAAAATGGTGTCCCAAAACAATGCATAAGAGCCAACAGCGAATACAATAGAATCAAGACTGAATCCTTTTCATCGTACTTAACCTCCAACATCTCTAAATCTGCAACTATTTCCTTAAACACGGCAATATGGTCCTCCGATGACCCTCCTTCCACCATGAGACTTTTAGTCATACATAAATGCTCCAGTTTCAACCATAAGGCAGCCGCTGTTTTCTCCTTCTAAACATTTTACAGAATATTGTTGCATAAATGAAGATAGATCTGTTGTTTCTCTTCATTTGTCCAATCAGCTGACATCTTCTCAAAATCTAGTAGCGCATCTTCCAAATCCAACTGTGCTCAAATAGCCATCATCTTTACTTGCCACAAGAAAATCTTGTATTGCGATCCAGCAATGGAATGTCATATCTCATGGTAGTCATATCTGAAAAACCTTCACCAATCCACAAGAGAAGAATCAGGCTCTGATACCACTTGTTGATCCCAAAGAGTTGTAAAAAAAGAGATTTAATGACGATGTGAATTAATAAAGATTACAGCAAGAAACAAGATTAAAAGTAAAGAAGTAAATAAAGAGTATTTATCACAGAGGGAAGATGTATTATAAACTGACAATATAGAGAGAAATTATATACACAGCAATAGTGCTTAAACAAAACTGATAGGGGAGCCTTATATTTGTAGGTCACGTTTCAAATCTTAGAAGAGTCCTAAAAGATAAGAAAATATATTACAATTAGGAGACATAATTTCAATGGGATTTTGTTTGCGGTTGACTCATTTACAACACCAACAACACGCGATTCAAAACTCATATTGGAATCACAACTCTAACATGATGATGTCAGGAGAGTTACACAACTTTTCTTCCCATCCATTGGATATCAAATTTTGTTTTGTTCAAGTTTCTTACTATTTGAATGTCGGTAGTAGAACTCAGAAGAAAAACGTGTCTTCATCCTCAAAGTCAAGAGAAAGTAATTAAAAAAATTATCAAAGTGTATAAATAAATTAAAGTTAAATAAAAGTCAATTGCTTGGTTGTGATTGTGATGTATGCTTGTTCAATTTTCTCTTTTAAATGAAAAATCAAATTTGTGAATGCCGTCGATCAATTGACTATTAAAAAAAATAAAAATAAAAAAATCCAAGATTTCACATAATAATTCCATTAGTTGTAGACTGGTGATCAATTTTATGAATAATTATAATCACGTGATGATTTAAAATTTTTTAGATAAAGTAATTTAGCATTTAAATTGCTCATGAGGCCTATGATTTAAAGGATTGATCGAGTCTAGAATTTGGACATGAATCGAGCTGAGCTCGGGCTAACTCAATCCAGTACCACCTGTCTTCCCCAAATGTTGACGTTTTTACAGCTGATCAATTCCAGCACAATTTTTTATTCTTAGGTTCTATATGACGATTATTACAGTTAGTGAGTATTGTTGGGATTATTGGCTTCTTTCTTCTTGTTGTGCTGCTATATTTTTCTAGAATTGAAATCGTGAAGGATATGCATAGGACACTGATGAACAGTGGCTGAAATCCTGAGTAATTTGACCTAAATCTGTACGAAGGTGAAAGCTTAGATGCCCAGATGCTCCATTTTAAAATTTAGAGGTTTCTACGGCTGGGGATGCAAGATGTACGTACTCGATAGATGGGCCTGCTGGCTTCATACTGAACAGGGCAACCCCATGGCCTAATCAAGAACTACATAGGCCTCA